TCTTCCTTCTTCTTACTATCCACTAATTGTATTTGATTGAGTTTTCTGAGGGTCTCTTGGTCCTGTTCTTTCGGATCCTGTATCTTTTTCCTATAGAGCTCTACTTGATGGGCTATGTGATCTGTATACACGCCCTTTGCCATGCTTCCAAGTCCAACCACCTCTGCTAGTTTGCTCCTCACTAGTAGGGGCAGCCCCTTCTGTAGCTTGGTTCGCAAAATTGACTGCTCCATCTTATTTAAGTCTGGGTCGTTTCCTGTAACATTTCTCCACACTTGATGGGCTCTTGACACATAGGCCCTCTGGTTTTCTTCCTGTCCCAATGGTTCAATAAGAATATTGTCCGGATGTACATTTGTCGGAAATGTTTCTTTCAGCGCTCTACACATTCGACCTCTTCTTGCAGCAAACCGCTCTGGATCATTCACAGCAGTCCCCACATGTCGATTCAGTCCTGCTTTCTGTAGAATCTCTTCCATAGCTGGGACCCCAAGGAGATTAGCCAAGAGTCTCTTAATGTCTCCTACAGCAGGTTGCGTTCCCACCATAATCTCTTCCAACTTCGAAATCCAAGGATGTGCTCCATCTTGAAGAGTAGGTAACTTTTCAAGTATAGCAGACATATCTGTACTCTGCCAAGTCTTGTACTCTAAACTCTGTCCTTGGATTACCACTGGACACATCTTCTCGGGTGCCTTCCCTTTTCTTGATCACATTGCATATTTCTTTTGGGAGCCTTTTTTCTGCAAGTTTTTCTTCAGTATCTGCAGCTCCTCCAATTGGTTCTCCAATGTTTCTCGGCTTTCTGGTCTGGTGGATCTATCCAAATATGAAAGGCATTGTTCTATGCTTCTTTCAACTTCATCCAAAATCCTTCTGTGGTCTTCTTTTCTGGTGCTGGATGTCCCCGGAGAAAACCTTCTTAAAGATGAAGCACCTCTGGTTTCCCAATCTTCATCACTGTCTTTATTCGCAGTTTCATTGGAGCTAGCATCTTCCAAGTCCTTTTTCCTCCATGTTATATCTCCTCTCTTTTCCGCTCTAGTCAGCATCCGCCTGACTTCAGGGTCATATCCACCCATCATCTGCTCCGGATCACTCTGATCATCATCACTTTCAGTTTCCATCTTTCTCATCCTCAATCCACCTTTAGCTTCCATACGTGTTGTTTTCCTCTTACTTTTTGGAACTTTTGGATACATCCTTATAGTTGTTTCCACTTTTCCCATCTCTATTGTTCGGTCATCATCGTCTCTGATGCGATAGTTACCTTCCTGACTGATCACTGGGAGCTGGGGATAGATATCCTTGAACTTCACCTCCTTCTCATAAGGTGGGGGTCTCTTCACTGGATCCGTATGTGAGAAAGGTGTACTGATTTCTATCATCAGTTTTTCTGTTTCTTTAGCATTTTGTCTTATTTCTTCTGTTCCTCTGTCTCTGTTATCCTTTGCAGCTTTTATCAGTTTCTGTCCCTCATTTTCAAACAACTGGAGAATACCGAGCTCCACTTTTCTCTTTTGTTTATGTTTTTCCCCTTTTTTCCCTTTCTTTTGGTTTGCCTTATATGTAGACACAAGCACCTGCATTATTTTAATTACATCAGGGTTAANATAATACAAATAATCCTTCAAATTGTAAACACAATTTCTCAATGTCTTGCAAACATATAAAAGCCAATCAGAATTAAAGCTCAAAAGATCAAGCGCTCCCATAAGGGACAAACTATCACAGAATGTGCTCCCACTCACAGCCAGACAACCACCTAATTGTCATCAATGTTCACACACATTCACCTTAAATCATCAAACAATCACAAAATTTAATTATCAATGCAGCTCAAATCAGAATAAACCATGCAAAAACAGTAAATTCACATTTGCGACTCTCAGCATTGAGTTTAAATCAAATCATCATACTCCATGAATTTATTAAATGCATCAACTGGTAAGTGCTTTGCCAAGCTTCTCTATTAAAACTACAGCATGTGATATGTCATGTATATGCAGACAGATGGATGTACTAATGCACTAGAAGTAAAAATGTAAAAGTACAAAAACTGATCGCTCAGATCAATCCAAGTGTATACAATGGTAGTTTTCTGCCTAAAGAAAGAAAACAACTCAGAGAGTCTCAAGTTGCTTAATGAATACCAAGCAATACTGGAATGTTTAACTAAGCCGATTTAGTGTAAGAAAAACACATGATGTAGGAGAAGTGACAGGAGTTCATAAACAAGCCATACAAATCCAGATGTTCTTACTACTGAATGTTTTAAAAAGCTCAAACAAACACCAGAAGTGTCACACAAGCATCAATCACAACCAACTCAGAGCTATAAAAGTGACACTTTAACGATCTCCCAACTCACTCAATTATTTTCTCACTTTACTGAGGTATATCTCCAACACCCCCCAAATTGAGAAATATCCTTATAACAACATACAAGTCAAAGAAGACTAATATATATCAACAATAAGGCTATAAATGAGTGAACATACATATGTTTGAATTCAGGAATAGGTTAAAATTATCTTGTTTTATCCATGCTTATGCACACAAAACATCCTTACTGATTTCTTTATTACTCTTAATAGTTATAAACGTCCTTCTTGGGGCTCATGTTTAGCCAATCTTTAGTCACCCCTTAGGAGGCTCATTAGATAAAATAAAATAAAGAATATACATATATACAGCTCATATATTTAATTAAATCATAAATTCCCTTTATCATCAATAGGGCTCATGAATGTTCTTTAACAAATTAAAAAACAAAATATCTAATATTATAAAATAGTAAATCTCTTTATTACTCAACCACAACCCACATGTGCTTTATTCAATATAAACCAACACAGCAACAAAGGCCATTTAGAGCAACCACTCTCAGCTGATCTCACACACGTACACACACAGAGCTCCAACAGCTGATCTTACACACACACACAGAGAACTTCGGCAGCTGACTTTACACACACACAGAGAACTTCGGCATCATTCCAAAGGCATAGACGGCATTCAATCCTAAAGTTTTAAGTCAACTCATTCATACTTTGCCTATAGCATGCTTTTAGCTGCTCCTTCCTTATCCTTTTCTATCTAAATTTATGCTACCTGAGGTGTAGATATTCAGTGAGAGGTTAATTCAAGCATCTGTTCGTCAACTATTGCTGAAAACTTACAATTCCCTGAG